TCACTGCAACATCAAACTGCTTAACAAGGAATTTCATATCAGTGGTAGGAATGCAAGGTGCAATGGCATCCAAGTTGGGAAGATCAAGTAGCTTCTGAAGTCTCAGCTTTTGCTCGGATTCATAAATCTGACGTATCTAAACGTGGTATTGGGCACCAGACAGCTACAACATCACCTAAAACCTACCTTCCAAACTGTCGGTTTGGAAGACAGGTTTTAGGTGATGTTGGTTCACTCCTCGACTCGGCCCCTGCTATCACGTGTCAAACGACATCACTATTCGCTCTGCCGCTTCTGCCACCAGCGAATTTTCCAACTCTGGCGAATTTCACTAGAGCAAACGTTGGTCGTGGTAGAAACCTGTTTTAGCCTCGCGTGGTGACTGCCGCTCCGCTCTTGGAGCAAAATCGCTCGCATGTGAAACCGGCTTAAGGGCAGCGGTTGCTGTACGACGAACTTCCGAAGATCCTCCGCCGCCAACGACAACGTCACGACGAAATCACAAGATCCCGCCACAACATCAACGTAGTTCCGACGTCGAAAATTTGCGGCCAGATTACGGCTTGATGACGCAGCGTCGAAGCAGTGGTACAAGGCGGCGCAGCTGTAATTTGACGCCACAACCCAACTGCAACGTCAGACCGCAAACTAGCAACCTCGACGTTCTTATCATCAGCCGCAGTGTGACAGCTCTCGTCGACACCACAGCGGACTATACTGTCATCAGTGGAGCGTTAGCACGAAGTGAAAGAAAGTCAGGCACGCCAGAGAAGGACCCGAAATTATAACAGCTGGAGGCCATCTAGTAACACCATGGAGGGAATCTATACATCGAGAGTCTGCGTTAACCAAATTTACCTCGCAAGCCTTGTAGTACTAAAGTGGTGCTCGAGAAATGTGATCCTTTGTATGAATTTCTTAAGCCTTCGTAGAGCGGTCATTGATCTGAGATCCAAGTCAATAACACTGCCAACAGAACAAGCCCTACCAGCGCACACTCCATCCGGAAAGAGGTATTGAATGTACTGGAATATTAAATCACCATTCCCTCTCGCTTTTACAGCGGCTTTCGGAAATCAGCGTATACCTGCAAGGTGTCCTGCAACGTGTACCTGCAAAGCGACCAGAAGCTGTTGATCAACCGTGAGATTCGCGTCACAAGACGAATAGCCAAGCTGAGATAGGGGAAAGCAATAGTGATGCTCAAAAACTTCAGCAACGAGTATAAACACGTGATCAAAGACACAACAGTTGCCTATTTCAAGCAAATTGTGGAAGCCACAAATGCTATTGCCCTCGCTGAGTCTACTGAACCTGCTTCGAATAATCAAGGTCCCCACGAGAATTTCGACATCAATCCGAGGCTTCCAAAGAATAAGCAAGAAAGGCTGAAAAGCCTGCTCCGGCATTACGACGACTGCTTTTTATGGTCATCGAAAATTGGGCAGACATCAGTAGCAAAACATCACATCATAGCAGAGGAGAGTGCCAGACCACTCTGTCAGAGCCCGTACAGAGTTTCGATGCCCGAGCGGAAGCCAATAAGAAAGCAAGTCGACGAAATGCTACGTGACGACATCATACAGTCTTCCAAGAGTCCGTGGGCGCCACCTATGGTGCTAGTGAAGAAGGATGGCACCCTGCGCTTCTGCGTCAATTATCGTCTCCTAAACAAAATCACAAAGGATGTGTACCCTCTCCCACGGATAGATGACACTCTAGATCTACCCCACAACACGAGGTATTTTTCGTCAACGGACCTCAACACCGGCTATAAGCAAATTGAAATTGACGAGAGACACAGAGAGAAGACCACCTTTATAACACCAGACGCTCTCCTTGAATGCAAGGCGATGGCTTTTGGTCTTTGCTCGGCCCCCACAACTTTTCAACGCGCTGTGTATACTTTACTGGCTGGATTAAAGTGGCAGACTTGCTTCGGGTACTTGGACGATGTCTTCGTGTTTTCGTCAAGCTCCGCCGAGCATCTTCAGTGCCTTTAAGCTGTACTTCAAGCTATCAAGACCTCCAAACTCACCCTCAAGCCAGAGAAGTGCTGCTTCGCGTACAAGGTACTCATGTTCTTGGGCCACGTGATAAGCAAGTCCGGTGAAAATTCTGACCCGCAGAAGACAATCACCATCGCTGCATTCCCTCCACCCGGCAACAAGAAAGCCGTCCATCAATTTCTCAGCCTCTGCGCCTTCTACAGGTGGTTCGTTGACAACTGTGCTCGAATCGCCGAGCCACTCACTAACTTTACCAGGTGGGAAACGCCGCAGGAGGAATCATCTCATGAAATAATCTCATGAATCATCTCATGAAATAAACGACGTCTGCGCCTTCGTTATTTGCGCATTTCCGAATTCGCCGAAACAGAAATACACACCGGCGCAAGCAGTGCAGGACTCGGCACCGTTCTTGTGTAGAGGACTGACGGACAGGAAAGGGTCACCGGTTATGCCAGTTCGTTGCTATCAAACGCAAAGGCCAACAATTCTACTACAGAAAAGGTTTGTCTTCCTATCATCTGGGCTACATGAAAGTTTCGCCGCTACCTTTATGGCAGGCCCTTCAAAGTTGTAAGCGACCACACCTCCTTGTGTTGGCTGGCAAACTTGAAAGACCCTTCGGATCGTCTCGCATGGTGGAGTCTGAGACTGCAAGAATTTGACATATCCATCGTTTGCAAGTCCGGAAGAAAGCACTCCGACACTGACTGCCTGTCTCGTGTCCCCGTCAACGCACCACCGCAAGATGACCAAGATAATGACTGCTTCTAGGGAACCGTAAAAGCCGACGCCTTCGCTGAACAACAACAAGCTGATCCGGAAGTCAGGTTTCTTATGGAATACCTCGAGGGCAGTGCTGCTATTGTCCCGAAGGCATTCAAGCAAACACTGACGTCGTTTATCTTGCGAAACGCCGTTCTCCAAAAGAAGAACTTCTCGGCCCATCGAGCCCAGTACCTTCTCGTCGTGCCTCTCTCATTGCGACCAGAAGTACTACAGGTTCTGCACGACGACCTCACGTCCGGACACCTGGGTGTTTCCCGCACGCTCACCAGAATACAGGAAAATTGGTACTGGCTTCGACATGCGGCCGACGTTGCTCGTTACTTGAAGATTCGCCGAGATAGTCGGTGACGGAAGACACCACCGACTGGACTTCTACAGGTCAGCTGGACTTCTACAGCCCATCGAGCAACCACGCCGCACCTTCTAACAAATCGGCATTCCAGCAGCATACTATGCTTGTTTTCGACCTCGACGTCAGAAAACAAGTAGATCACCGCCGCTGTACCAATTACGTCACACACTACGCCAAGACAAGGGCCCTGCCTAAAGGCAGTGTGTCCGAGATAACCAAACTCTTTGTTGAAAACATCGTCCTTCATCATGGCACCCCAGAAGTTATCATCACTGATAGAGGTACAGCCTTTACTGCTGATTTTACTCATGCGAACTTGAGACATAGCTAGACAAGCCACCGCCGCACCACCACCCACCACCCACACAAAAATGGTCTCACCGAGCGGCTTAGCAAGACCATCGCCGACATGCGGGCCATGTACGTCGACGTCGAACACAAAACGTGGGACGCCATCTTTTCTACGTGACCTTCACATACAACACGGCAGTGCAAGAGACGACGCCGATGTCGCCATACAAGTTGGTCTACGGAAGGAACCCCATAACGACGCTCGACGTCATGGTGCCAAACGTCGCTGATGAACTAAACCTCGACGTCACCGTCTACCCTCAGTGCGCGAAAGAAGCTCGTCAACCCGCCAGCCTGCGCATGAAGAATCAGCCGGTGACCGACAGCTGCCGTTAGAATCTTCGACGAAGGTACGTGGAGTACCAGCCCGGTGACCGTGTCTGGGTATGGACGCCAATGCGCCGACGTGCACTATATGACAAACTTCTGCGACGGTACTTCGGATCGTACAGAGTAGTTCAACGTCTCGGCCCAGTTGACTACGAGGCTGTCCCCAACGGCATCACGAACTCTCAACGGCGGCGTGCGTAACTTGAAGAAGCTCATGTCATGCTTCTCAAGCCGTTTTATGTGCGTCAACGAACTTAAAGACTGAGTTCTTTGTAGTTATTATTGTGCTTCATTGCTTGTACTAATTTATTATTGAGATTTTCTTTCTTGCTTTGTTCCTGTTATTTTATTGTTCATGTATTTCTCCCGCTGTTCAATTTCAAGCATCGGGACGACGCTTTTTTTAAAGGGAAGCAATGCCACGCGATTTTTTCTTTATACTTATGTTCCATTTGATTTTCACTCACAAACTCTGTCTGAAATTCTCACCGCAAACGGAACCTCATTGTTCTGGAAGGTTCAAATTTATTGTAGATCGATTTGTTGAGATTACGCCGACTTCGTGAACACAACATATTATTCTAGAATATTCTAGCAATAGCGCTAGAATATTCGACGGCAAATGTATAAATGCCGACACGCTTCGCCACTTGTCAATAATTGATCGACGGCCGACGCTCTGCTCGCCGCCACCAGTTCCAGTGTGTTGCTGTAATCTGACTTCCTTTTTTGTGGCGACAAGTTCAGCCAAACAGTTTAAACTGAACAACCAGTCTGCTCCTTTCGTACTCGTCACGACCACATGACAATATCTTCGTTTTGGCTGGTAAGATCAAAGCAATTATAAGTCATTGTATTTGTAAAATATGATCGCTATTAGAACGCTGCATGGCGGATTGTGTTAGCGCTACTCTGTGACAGCAAGCAATGCAATGCCCTCCAAAGCTTTGCTTCGTTAAATTGCACGAGATTTCCTTTTTTGACAAACGGTTGCTTCATAAATGTATAAAACGAAATTTCTGCTCGAGAAAGAAACTCAGCATGAAAACTTTTGATGCACAGTTTGAATTTTGCTTTTTGCAACTGTAAAGAAAATAGCCTCTAAGGCTCGGGCCTATTATATACACGGCGGCTTTGTTTCGTTTTCTATTGTTTCTTTTCCTCCACAGCGAAGGCTTCTCTGTACCATTGGGCGTCTTTTTTTATAATAGATCTAAATGTTGTCGTGGATAATGTACTGTCCGAGCGCTTGAAAAAAGAAGGCACAACAGAAATGGAACATACGGAGCTGCTCATAAAGAAGGCAAGTACAAGAATACTATTTGATATCGCTGCCAATTTTGCAGAATTGTGTTCGCCTAGTAAATATTTTTCTAAGCATTCACACAATCTAAATCTAGACATTGTTGGTTATGCGCAAAGTAGTTTCACCGCCACGAAGGAAAACGTTGTGGATGCTAACATGATATTAGTAACGAACTTTGCATTAGTGATTGACACAAAAGGCGCGCAAAAAATTGGGGATTTTTTAAACAATGAAATCGCAAATGATAGTTCTACTATAATATTAGAGCGAAAAGGCGCACAATAACTGCGGAAGCAAACGTAAATAGTACGAAGCCTTTTATTTATCTTGTTCTATCCGACGTGTTTAGGCGTATTTGCCACAAAATACGTACCAAATAACCTGGCAACATCATAGCATGGTTTAGCTGATTAGCTGAACCAATCGCTCACGCTATAAGCGTACAGGGCATATTTCACGCCCGAACAGAGAATCAGGAAGCAGCGGGTTGAGTGAAGGGGTTGAATACCTGGCTGTCGCTCACACATGCACTGTGCCATCGGAAAGTAGTGACACCCGTAAGCAGTTTCGTAAAAAGGAAAATGGATCAATTGCTGGTTTCTCTGTTAGGCAAATTGTAGCGGACTCAATGAAAAATGAGTAGAAGAAATTATTTGCAGCCATTTTCCGTGATGCAATATTTGTATCCTATATGGAAGGAAAATTACGTAAACAAAAAGGTGTCGCATATCTGTACACGCGCGCTTGTGCGATACACTATCACGCGGCCCATATCGCAGCACCCTTGCCCACGATGTGAATAAAAACGCTTGGCGCACGGTAGGCCGGGGGCACTTTCCTTCGGCACTCTTGGTTATCGCTATGTTGCTGGCATGCGAATAAAGCCTGTTTAAGTACTGGCGGCGTCTTCATACCCGGAAGCCCTGGAACACGATATAGTTCTTGGCGACGAGGTCCTTGGGACCCTGGTGGACTGCCACAAGAAGACAAGTCAGCGAAACGATGTCGGCGCACTTGGGGCAAGTAGAACCATTCGATGACTCTTCATCAGATTGGGCTAGTTATGAAGAGCGCCTCCAAGCATTTTTGCGTGCTAACAATGTCTCGGAGGATCAGAAGGCTGATACCTTGTTAAGCCTAGTAGGACCGAAGACGTACGCATTGTTGAAGTCGTTAACGTCTCCTGAGACTCCCGCAAAGAAGTCTTTTGAAGAACTTCTAAGCTTACTGCGAAACCACTATCTTCCTAAACTGTCCATTATCGATGAAAGGGCCACATTTCATCGCCGCTCACAACTGCCGCAAGAGACTATTACTCAGTATGCCGCAGAGCTGCGTAGACTCGCGCAAACTTGTGAGTTCGGTACTTTTCTTGATCAAGCGTTAAGAGACAGATTTGTTTGTGGCTTGCTCCGGGCTGACATACAACGAAGTTTTTTTGCAGAAGACAATCAGTTAAAGTTTCATACAGCAGTTGATCGTGTGATAGTCATTGAAGCTGCGATTCAAAGCGCATCTGCTACGCGCTCAACAGCACAGCAAGAATTTCAAATGCACAAAGTTAAAAGCACTGGGGAAACTTCTACGTCATGTTATCGCTGCGGATCGGTGAAACACACCGCCAGCTCTTGTCCGTATGCGAATGCCAAATGTTTCATTGCAACAAAAGGGGCCACATCAAGAATGCTTGCCGGAGCAAACAGCTAAAAGAATTGAAAAGTAAAAATAAACAGCATGTTAGTACCTTGAAACTGCCACAAAACAATTTGAAGAGTGTAAAACCTGCTGCAGAGGCAAGAGAAAAACCAATCATGGTCGAGGTCGCTATTGACGGCGTACCAGTGAAAATGGAACTCGATACAGGGGCTGCTGTATCCGTGATGTCTATCTCACAGTTCCGTTCTCTTTTTCCCAGAGCTCATTTGCGCAGGACAAGTCTCACCTTGAGAACCTACACAAATGAACCCGTGAAGCACTGTGGAGTAGCATTTGTTGCTGTCCAGTACAGCGCGCAGCGCCAACAGTTCCCTTTGTACGTGCTCAACCAGGACGGCCAGCCGCTGTTGGGGCGCAGTTGGCTACAACACCTCAAGCTGGACTGGACGCAAATACAAGGTCTTCACCACATGCAGGTGTGAAACCAAATGGCTTTGACAGATCGCCTAAACTAGAGTGCTTGCTAAACCGCTATCAGGACCTGTTCAAGGACGACCTCGGCACAGTAAAGGGAGAAAAGACTAGCCTTTTCTTAAGGGGTGACGCGAAGCCAAGATTTTTCAAGGCCAGAAGCGTGCCTATCGCGCTAAGAGCTACTGTCGAGCATTAATTGTCGAAGCTCCAAGAGCTAGGGATAATTACACCCGTAACCACAAGCCCGTACGCAACGTCTGTCGTGCCAGTTGTTAAACGCGATTGTTCAGTCAGACTGTGCGGTGATTACAGTCCCGCTAAACCCGATACTGGACATCGAAAGGTATCCGCTACCGAAAGCGGACGAGCTATTTGCCGCGCTGCTAGGCGGACAACATTTTTCAAAGATGGACCTAAGCAGAGCGTATCAGCAGGTCGAAATGGACGACGAATCCAAACAATACCTTACGCTGAACACGCACAAGGGTCTGTTTCTGGTCAACCGCCTACCGTTTGGCATTTCATCAGCTCCCGCAATATTTCAGCGTATTATGGATAACGTGCTGAAAGGACTAAACGGCGTAACCTGTTATCTTGATGACACACTGATCACGGGCCACACAGAAGCAGAACACTCGCTCAACCTCGAAGCTGTGCTGAAGAGGCTATTAGAACGCGGATGTCGCGTCAAACCTACGAAATGTGATTTTTTTCGCAATAAACTGCAGTACTTGGGTCACGTCATCACAAAAGACAGTGTTGGCCCGACGGATGAAAAGTTGGTCGCAATTGCAAATGCACCAGCTCCAACAGACAAACAGCAGCTGCAGTCAGTGTTAGGACTCGTGAATTACTATGGAAAGTTTGTTCCGAATCTGTCATCCATACTTTTTCCTTTGAACCAGCTCTTGAGTAAGGACGAACCTTGGCAGTGAAACGCCGCTTGTCAAAGTGCGTTTGCGCAAGTAAAAAAACTGCTGTCGCCAAAGCCTATTCTGATTCACTATGATCCCAGTTTGCCATTGCAGTTGTCATGCGATGCTTCTTCCTACGGAATAGGCGCAGTTTTGTCACACGTTTTTCAAGGCCAAGTTCATCCAACAGCCTATGCTTCAAGAAAGTTAACAAAAGCAGAACAAGGTTACAGTCAATTGGAGAAAGAAGCATTAGCGCTTGTTTTTGGAGTCAAGAAGTTTCATTACTACGTTTACGCACGGAAGTTTGTGTTGCTCACAGATGACAAGCCACTTGAGACGATCTTTGGCCCGAAAACAGGCATTCCTGCTATCGCAGCTGCCTGTCTGCAACGCTGGGCAGTCACGCTTTCTGCATATTCTTTTTCGTTGCAGTATCATCCTTCAGCGCAGAACGTGGACGCTGATTGCTTATCGTGCCTTCCAATCCAGCAACCGGGAACAGACGGGGCAAAAGAAAATCTTCTGGTTTTGCGTTTGGCCAGCATGCCCGTCTGCAGTAAACAGATCGCAGAGGAAACTGCACGGGATCCAGTGTTCCGTCAAGTAGTGCAGTACATCTTGTCAGGCTGGCCTGCTAACGTATCTGTGAACCTGAAATCTTTTTTCTGCAGGAAACTAGAGTTTTCTTCATATCAAGGTTGTGTCATGCTGGTAATGCGTGTGGTGGTACCACTAAAATTCCGTAAATTTGTCCTAGATGAATTACATGAGGGGCATCCGGGAGTGGTGCGCACAAAAGAGCTTGCAAGAAGCTATGTGTGGTGGCCAAATATTGATCATGACATAGAGATATGTGTCGGCTCTTGTCACGCGTGCGCAGAGACACGCAGTTTGCCAGTGAAAGCGCCGCTCCATCCATGGTCCTGGCCGACGCGTCCTTGGCAACGCCTACACATGGACTTTGCAGGTCCAATAAAAGGTATATCAACTTAGTAGTAGTTGACGCCCATTCCAAGTGGCCAGAAGTATGTTCTATGACCACCACTATTTCAGAGGCAACCATTGCTTGCATTCATGAACTTTTCTGCAGATTTGGATTTCCAGAAACACTCGTGTCTGACAACGGAAGCCAGTTCATTTCTGCAGAGTTCCAAGCCTACCTCAAGCACAGGGGCATCTGGCACGTAAGAACCGCACCGTATCACCCAAGTAGCAACAAACTGGCTGAACGTTTTGTTCAGACTTTGAAATCAGCGCTCCGCAAGACCAGTCCCAGGAGCGCCAGTGAGGAGTTAGCCGACTTCCTTCTGGTGTATCGTAATACGCCTCATGCTACGACAGGGAGGTCCCTTCCACTTTGCTCCTGGGGAGACGCCTGCGGGCCAGACTAGACCTGTTATGACCAGCGGTCGAGAACAGAGTGCGCCAGCGCCAGTTCGACCAGACAAGGCGTCACCCATGTCGCAACAACGTCATCGCTGTTAGTGACGCCGTTCGTGTGCGCAATGTCCGATCGGAACCAAAGTGGCTGTGTGCAACAGTTCTTGTCCGTACGGAACCAGTGTCATATCGGTTAAGTGTAGAGACTCCTCGTGGCGTATTCCAGTGGGTGCGTCACCAAAATCACATCCGCAACGATAACACCGCCATCGCCACGGAGTTCGAACTACCCTTCAGTGAAAGGCAGCAAGAAGTTGCCACACAGGTCCCTACCTGTGACTCATCACATGACGTCGACAGCTCGCCGGGGGCACTTTCCTTCGGCACTCTTGTTTATCGCTATGTTGCTGGCATGCGAATAAAGCATGTTTGAGTACTGGCGGCGTCTTCATACCCGGAAGCCCTGGAACACGACAAAAGGCAACTTTGACGTCAGTACAGACTGAACGTGGAAATTTATGCATGACGTTACGGAGGCTCTAAAATTCAGCTGCGGTGGCGATGGCTTTT